GTAAGACTATAATACGCGTCTTTAGACAAATTTTTTAAAGTTTTATGAGTAATAAATTCTCGTCCGGGTATGGCCGACACTTTATCCGGGCTACGATCAATATTTTTTCCAGGGTATTTTAACAACCAATCAAAATAAACTTCCACTATGCTGATGATGATAACGATGATGAAAATGATTCTACCTTTTCTTCAAAAAAACAAACAACATTGTCCCAATATCTTGGCCGTTCAATTAATGCCTCTGAAGTTCCCAAATTTGAACGCCTTGTACTTCATGCTATAGTTTTAGTTAGATTTGCATTTCAATAGATAGAAAACCCAGAGATTAGAAAGTTATTTCATTTTATTTCTCCACATTTAAAATTACCTAACCGAAAGTCACTTAGTAATTGTATTTTAATCAAAGCAACTAATGAAGTTCAAATGACAATAAAAGAACTTGCCTGTAAAGACAAAATCAGAATTACAATTGCCTTTGATGGTTGGTGTAATGTTGTAAATCAAGAATTAATGGGTGTGATATTTGTTATATCTTTTGGAGAAATCTTAATTTGGGAAGCAGAGGATATTAATATTGAAAAACAACGACAAGAATAAGTAATTTCTAGAATTCGTGCACTTTTTGATGAGGCAAAAAAGTTAAGTATAAGAGTAAACTGTCTTGTAACAGATTCAGCTGGATCATATACAGCAGCCCATTATTTTTTAAGATGTGAAATGCGTGATAAGGTTTTTATTCTCTGCTTTATACACCAAGCAAATTGTTGTATTGGAAACATATTCAAAGAATCATTAGCATTCAAAAATACCAGTAAACATGCACTTCATATAGTTGCTTTTTTTTATCATTCCGTGTATTTCACTACTAAGCTGCGTGATGAGCAAATGAGTGTTTTAAAAAAATATATTAATTTTGTTACACCAAGTATAACAAGGTGGAACAGTTATTTTGAATGCTTTGATAGCGTTTTTAAAAACAAGCAACCATTAAAAGTAAGTTACAGTATTTTAATTTTAAAATTATATATATTGTATATATAGTATATATACAGTACCTTTTTTTTTTTTTAAACTCTTGTCACCAAAGATGATGCAGCCTCGGATAATGATTTGAAGCTTCTAGCTGATATTAAAGTTATTATTAATAGAGATTCTTTTTGAGAGTCTCTTATTACATTGTATAATATACTTCGTCCTTTTTGTAGTGCACTTGATTTTATACAATGTGATAAGGCCCATCTTTATAATATTTTACATGCTTTTGGCTTTTTCATGAAAATATTTAAAGAACTTGAGGTATCTCAATTTCAAACAAAAATGATTGCAAGGCTTGAAAGAAAGTAGGCCACTTGGAAACAACTGTTACTTATTCTTTCGTTTATATCAGTTAACTTATTTTGATCAAACTCAACTATATATTAATTTTATACACATGGGAGCATGGTTATCATATTATTACAAAGCCTGGTTTAATACTGATCCAAACTGTCTTCTTCGTGAGCTTGAACTTTACAAACAACAAAAATACCTTTTTAGTAAAAAAACCTTTAACCAATTTAAAGAAAACATTATTCTTTGGTAGTCACATAGTTTAGGTGCCGCGCCAGAGTTGAGTTGTATTGCATGCCAACTATTTGGCATATGTGTTACAACTGCATTAGTAGAAAGGCTTTTCTCTACTATGGGTTTTTTGCATTTACCATTGCAAAATAAACTAAAGGCAAATTTTGTTTTAAAATTATAAAGTTAATTATATTAATTTTTTTTTTTTATAGAATAAAAAAGTAGTTGCAATGAGTTAACTTTGTGCAGAAATTTTACGTGCTCATAAAAAAAAAGTTGATTCAAACTATATTCAACCAAACAACTCTTCTTCTACTTTGCTTCTCTCTGATACTTCTACTTCACCTGCTTCTATCTCAACTGTCCCTATCTTAACTGTCTCTATCCCGACTGCCTTTACCTCAACTGCTTTTACACCAACTGCTTCTACGCTAACTGCTTCTATACTAATTGCTTCTGCACCAACTGCTTCTACACCAATTGCTTCTACACCAATTGCTTCTTTTTTATTGTGTGACTAAGAACAAAAATTCGAAGGTGTTATTGATGATAGTATGAAGAAGGAAATTACTTTAGAGGCCAATTTTGATACTGTTATTAATAAATGGGAAGAATTGTTAATTGATGAAGAGTTTGAAGAAGAAACTGATGATCTTGATATTGAAATAGATTTTTTTGATTTTGAAACACACCCCGCTGAAAATCAAGCTGCCAAGTGGAATTTGCATGATTTGTTTTCACATAATTTACCATTTCCCATTGATAGTATTTGAATTATATATGTAAGTGAGAAATTGAATGTGTATCTTTATTTCTTGTACAGTATTTATAAAACTGATATATTTTTACAAGAAAAAATTAAAGCATTATTTGTCAAATTAAACTGATTCGTTTAAATATTAAATTTACTAATCTTATTTTTGATTTTTTTTAAAATTTCTTGCCCTTAAATAAAAAAAATCAATACTAATATTACGTATAAAGTTTATTTTTGTGGTTTAATAATTGAACTAGGTGGCTATATGTAAAAGCATTAGATCGATCTTTATTCTCTGTTCATACGTTGTAATCGAATATAATAGATAGATAATAGGTTTGGTGGCTTTCTGCATGCATTATATACAAATAATACAAGCAATCATATATCCAGTGTTTATTGCTTTTGATTGGACAGTTCGGATACTAAATATTGGACAGATTTCTATTGTCTGAATTCTATTTATTCCAATCCTGATAATAAGTCATGTTTTAAGTGCACAACCCCGTGTAAATAGAAGCATAAAACAGAAACATAAGAATCAAATTTTAAATGATATTCGCAAACAAAAAGAAAATGCTATAAAATCCAAAGAGCTTGAAATATATAGTTTATGAAAAACTTATGGATGTTGAGAGAAAGTGATATATATATGAATCTTAAAATAGCTATAGATATTTCCCAAACAGTAGCTTTTGCAAGTTTATTGTCATTATATTATGGTTTATAATTTCTAAATCTAATATTATAGTATATTAATTTAGATACGATACAATTTCCAATATCCTCTCACATTATGGAGACTAAAGAAACTTTATGAGAAAATATTCGAATATCAACCTTAATCAATTGCACACAAGTCAATTTAATGATCGATCAGAAGCCAAAATATAGATAATGAAAAATTAAGTGCTGAAGATAGTGAATTCGAATCTGAAATTTACTCACTATGAGGTATAAAATTTTTTTTATTATATTTCCATGTTTACCGTATTTTTGCGTAATAATGCTCATGAGCATTATTTCGAATAATAGCCCAAATTAAGCTTAATTTTGGCCAAAAATTAAAATTACACCCCTGTGCATTATTACATAAAAATATAGTAAATAAATTTATTTATTAATTTTATGTTTTATTGTCTTGAAAAGTCAAATAGTTTCCCAAACAAAAAAAAAGGCTTTGAAAGTATTGAATCGAACTTTAACCCTATTCAAAAGCAAAAAAGCTTGTAGTGAACGTAACAAAGTATCTTTTATTAATAGCATAAAAAATTCAAATTTGAAGCTTTATACGTATATTAAATTCAAATTTGAAATATATTAAATAAAATTTAAATTTGGATATAAATGCATTTTATATATTTGCATTGAGTATAATTTGACTTATAACTTGTAGTGATAATTAAATAAAAAAAACTTCGATTATTTCTTCAAAAATCTTGTGATCTCATCATTCTATTATTCTTGTGCGCAGATTGAAATTTAAAAAGCAATTATGTAACTAATTTTGGTAGCAATACTAGGCGCGTTGTCATTATTAGCTAATTGAGTTTTAATTTGAGATTGTAGTGCTTATGTAATAATATACAAAAAATAACAAGAATGATCGTCTGGAAAGCTAGATCGGAATGGTATATTATTCAGAACTAGAAACAAAAATTATGTATTCACATACGTATGTTGTCTAGCTAATAAAATAAAATCATTTATTGTTATTAGTTTATTATTAATTAAATTATTATAATTAATAATATTTTTCAGTTTTTTTTTTTTTCTTGTAAAAAATAAAAGCAATGCAATATTTGTTATATGTATTTTATATTGTAAGCTTTATTTTGTTAATTATATACAAAAAATTATCAAATTAGGACTTAGCAAAACAAAAGAATAGAATATATTAAATATATCTATATCACTTTGCTAAAAACTTTCGTCGCTTAAGCGTCACAAGTTGAAGCTATAATAACCAAATGTGATATAAGCAATGTTTGATCGTCTAAAAGTGATATTAAAATTAGGTTGGTATGTATTTTAAATTTTAATTGATACCAATTCAGAATTTATTTAATACCTATGTAGCAACGTAGATCTAATAAGTATTGAAAAGTTTTTAACTTATAATTAGTAATATTTACAATAATAGCCAACTTCTTGTCGACATTGAATATTTCAAGAAGGATACGAAAATACAAATCTCTATCGATAGACAAGTTAGCATCTTATCTATTTCACCAAATTTCATACAGTTAATGAATATTTAAAAAGAAAATATCAATCAATTTGAAATGAAGGGCATAAAGAATGATTGTAAAAAGAGTATATAAATTATCGAAGAAAACAAACCAATGATTAAAAAGAAATAAATTATTATAATGTCAAAATTTGTATTATTCTATGTATTAGATATGTGTTGTAAATTGTATTAAATATTGTTTATATTATCACTATAATTGAAAAATAAAGTCTTAGTAAAAGGAAAAAAAAAAACAAAAATTCAAAGACATTTTCCAGACCATCATCCGAACCCAACCTGGTACACATTTTCCAGGTACTTTATCTAAATAATATTTGTGATTAGTGAAAATAAATGCTAAAAAAATAAAATACAAAATCTTTCATTATTTTCAATTTAAAAAAAAGAAATCAAAAAATGAAAGCTAAATGAACCTTTTGAAAAAATAATTTTTAATATAATTAGCAAAAATAATAAGTTACTTCTAAATGAGTATGATATAATGCTGCAAGGGTAATAAATATCATTTATGTGTTGAATAATTTGTTTGAATGTTGCTAATATTATATGTAAAAAAGTTTATTCCATCACTATTTGACTTGAAATTTTGGTTTGAGATATTTAGTTTTTTTTAACACTTTTTGATTAACGAAAGCGATATTTTTACAGAACAATTACAGTGTTTATCCGTTTTACTAAGGCATTACTCAACTAATAAATCAAACTATAATCAGGGTGTCTCGCATTAAAAAGGCGCATTGACAAATTTTTGAAATTTTTTTTTATTTTTGAAAAGATATAATCGGTTAGCAAAGTGGTGGCACAAAAATTTGGCAGTCTCGTGATTTTTACCCAAGATCAATGCATAGCATTAGTGATATGAATCGAAAATCGATTAATTGATTAATAATTTTAACCCAACTATTAATCAATCAACCAACTAATCAATTAATCAATTAGCTGACTAGTTGCTTTATATTAATTAGCTTTTTAATAAAATTTTTATCAAATTTATATTCATAAATTAGACCAACTAAACAACTAATCAGGTAATCGATTAATCAACTAATAGATTAATCGATTAATTGATTAGTTAGCAATAATCGATTTGTAATCGATTTTTTAAAAATTTTTGATTATATTTTTTGCTCTAATTCGTAACACTACCTGTTTCAACCATTAAATCTAGATGCCGCACGAAAAATGCGTGGCAGATCCTCGATTTTGATTGGCTAAAATAAATTAAGCCGGAATTGCTTATAATTTTACTAATGAAATCGCAGCCACCTATTAAGTAAAAATTGTTTCTAGATCAATTTTACCATAATGCATGCTTAATTTCTATTTTTGTAATGAAAAAATTAAAAAGTTAAGTAAACAATTTTGTAATGTGGACCAAAATTTTGAAGATCTTTGGCCATTAGCCAATCAAAATCAAGAATCTGCTGCGTATTTTTTGTGTAGCACCTAGGGTAAATTGTTACAACTAGTAATGACAAAACTGGTTTGCAAAATCATCCAAAATTACAGATATATAATTTATGTGCTAAACTATTTTTGTAAAAGATGAAAAAAAAACATGTTGGTTGTACTAGGCTGGAAAACACCCTTTCACTTGTTGCATAGTATGTACGTACACGATTTATCAGATCAGCTAGAATTTTTTACACCTATATATCAAATATAAAATGATAAACGCTACGTACATAAAGTACACACATAAAGATTAAAAAAAAAATACTACACACTTTATTTAAAAAATGCAAAACGTAAACATAGAAACACTTATCTTTGTCTGTTATAATCTGCGGCTATCAGATCTTCTTGCGATGGCATACGTGTGCAAATATTTTAATGGAGTTTAAGACGAAAATATTAATCTATTGGCAGAAGAAATCTGGAAAAATTCTAGAGTTTACAGTTTTTAAAGATCAAAACCCACCAACGGCAATAAGCCAAAAAACCTTTACAAGACTATTAATATTCGAAAAAAGCTATCAGTTTTGTAAAACTAAAGAGAAAATGTTGACAGTCTATTGGATTCCTTGTGTTCGCTCTTGTTGAGAATGTATGGTCCCAGGAGTTATTTGATAAATTAATTTACTATTTTACACACATATATATTTTTTATAATAATTTGAATCTGAATAAAATTTGATTAATAATATTTAATAGTCTTGATATACTCAAATCAACTTTTAAAATCAATAATAAAGTTCTTGGACTTATTTTACCAGTAACACTAGGTTTATCAGAATCTCCACATTATTGGATCAAACAGATTACTATCACACATCTTATAGATGCTGATAATAATATGCAATGCGAGATAAATAACTTAAGAAAAGATATAGGAGAGAAGTATAGAGAAGTCCAATATTATAAAAATAGATGTCCAGTTTACGTCAAACCTACCTTAAACTTCTTTTAAGATTCCATACTGCAATTAATGAAGAAACTTTATTCAAAGTACAAAAAGATTATGAATACGAAATTCTTTAATATCAAAGTTCAAAATTTTTTTAATACAGAGTTGAAAGCAATATAAGACAAAAGTTTCACAAATCATCCAAAGAATTGAAAAATCTACAGTTAAAGAAAGACAAATCAAAATTATTAACTGCTTAAGACAAAGAACATATGGCTTAAAGGCATCAGACTCTAGTCAAATTATAAGCATTCGGGACCCAATCTAGTGTTGGAAATCTGTTTTGAGTTTTTTGTTCTCATTAGAACAAATTTATTAAATTTAATATTTTCAGAAATTTATTTATATTCTCAAC